TATTTCATAGAAATCCATAATGAAAGGAAAGAATAATAGTTATGGAAGAGAGAAGGCATTATCATTAAGATTAAAAAATTACTTTTATCCATAAACAATTTATCACCAGTTCATAACTTTTAGACCATAAGTTTTAATGGTCAGTTCCAAGCCAAAGGTCAATAAAAGGTTTTTCATGGTGTTAAGTTTTAAGATGTATAATTGCCCATTGCATTTCTACTTTATATTTAGAATGTCATAATTATAGAGTAAGATATCTAAGAACCTTGAGCTAAATTATCTGATCTATTAGAACTTCTTTGTGCCAGCACGCTGGCACATATCTGCACTACAGCCAGCAGATCTCAGCAGTGGAGGATTCTTCCTTCGTATACAAGCCTCTTGGAGAGGTAGCTTATGTAGCTGGGAAAAAAATACTATAAGTGGGATTCATAACTTGCTTTCAGCAGTTGCTGAAATAGTCTTTTGCACAGTTAAGGATAGCTTTCAGGCAGCAATAATATGTACTGGGAGAATGGCATAAGGTTAAACCAGCAGAAGATAAAGTACTACATAGTTACACAGGAATATTTGTCTCTATCTTCCTTCCAATTGAGTGATTTTACAGCTAGGATCCAAATCTGTAGCTTTGGAATTTTTTTCAGTTTAGATATATTATTTTTAAAAAATGCAAGAAGATATGAAGTCTTAAACTGAAAAGAGCTAATGTTCCCCTTGCAGCTTTAACTTTTTCAGTAATATTTTGTTGTTCCTAGTTAGGCTATTTAAGCATTATAATCTGATATGAGTGAATTCATTTTACTAGAAGGTTCTTAACATTCTTCAATCCCAATTTTTTGGTATTAAGGTATACGAAAAGGAGGACATTAAGATAATGCAACTCTCACTGAAGTGAAAGAAGTGTTGCCATTAGCTGTAATGGAACAGAATTGGGATTAATTTTCAGAATGGGCTAAATTCTAATAGTTTTCTCATGTTGAATAAAATCTTATTTTAATATGTTAGTATCTTATTTACATCAGTAAGAAGAGTAAGTTATTAGAGTTTTTCCTGAAAAAATAATGTAAGATTTGGCCTCTGAAAACAAAAGCAGGTGGCGTCTGAAGACAAAAGCCACATGGTAATAGGAATACTGATACAAACACACATTTTTGTTTGAATAAAGCAACAATTATAAGGTAAGAGTAAACATAAATTACTGCTGTAACCATAAGAATGAACAGTTCTAGACCTCATTAGCAAGGATCCTGATTTTCTCTGTTTAAAAACTGCAAATTCTCTGATTTAAAGAAAAAATGGCAAATTCTCTAATTAAACAACCCCAAATTTGAGTTTTTCTGTGATTAAAATGAAATACCACTATAGGTATATATGTAGGCATCAGTTGAACACAATGTTATATTTATATGTATACAATTTTGAAGCAATTTAGAAGCCTATCAGTGCCTCAATCATAATAATAAAATAAATTCTAAATACCTATAAATTTTGGATTTATCATGGAAAGTCAGAGCTTCCCCCACTCCTTTCACTCACCAGGATGTTAATCCAACTGTGGCTGTCCCCCACTCCCACTGCTTTGTGGTGCTGAGCAGCCTGGATATGCCAGTGCCCTGGTCATGCCATTGCTCCTCACTCCTAAGCGGCAGTCCCCCAGCCCTGCTGGTGCCCCTCATTTCTGACTCAGAGCCATCTGGCCCTGCTGGTGCCCCTTACTCCCCACCCACAGCCACCCAGCCCTGTTGTTGCCCCTTACTCCACACCTACAACCCCACATTCCTACTGGTGCCCCTCACTCCCAACCATTGGAGGTAGTGGCTGCTGTGGCCTGAGCAGAGTGTGGAACCCAGCTTCCCATCCCCATGGGTGGCATAACTGGAACAGAGCCTGGAGTGGGTGGGAGTGGATGTGGGCTGGTGGCTGCAGGTTTGGGGTTCTCTGCCCTGCTGCCCTCCCCCTGGGGCCTACGCGGTCCAGTGGGAGGGACCTGTGTGGCACGGTAGAGCAAGTAGGGAGGCTTGCTGCCATGATGAGGCATCCCTTGCCAACCCAGCAGCAGCGGGGGGCACAACCCCATGTTGCCACCCCTGCTGCTGCTGGCCAGGCAGCAGGTGCCTTGCCATGGTTGCATGGGGCTCCCAGTAGCAGCATCAAGCCTCCCCACCCCTTCCTACACTGTCCTACTGTGCTGGGTCCTGCCCACTGGGCTGCAGAGGCCCTGGCGGAGGGCAGCTAGGCAGGGAGCACCAAGCCTGCAGCCAACAGTCCACATCTGCCCCCGCCCCATGCATAAATCTGGGGGGCATGTGCCCCCCATAATCCCCCAGGAGTGTGCACAGTGGTGAGAAGCCAGCCCCTCTGCCACTCCCCAGATGAGCTGGCTGCAACTTTGTCCCACTCCCTGCCCAGGCCCTGTGGCTGTACATTCTGGCCCAGGCTCCAAGCCCCACAAACCACCCTGGCTGGCCAGCACCACAGCCCCAGCTCCAGTCCTGCCTCCCTCACTATGGGTGCCTAACTCCCTCCCTCACTATGGGTGCCTAAATCCCCCTGCCTCTGACTTACCTGCAGGGAGCTGTGGGAGCTGCTCTCATGCTGCCTGGCTGCTACGTGCATATCTACGCATGCACATCCACATGGCACCCCCTGCCAGATCACCATCCTCCTACTCTCCCCAGTCCCTTACAGGCTGGAACTCTGCCAGCCTGCAAGTGGAAACCCACCATTTCCCTTATTTTCTCCTTAAAAAGAGAAAATCTGGGTTTCTCTCCTTAAAATGAGAAAATCCAGGTTTTGCCATATTTTCCATGGTGATCAGAAAACTTGGATCCCTGCTCATTAGAGTCCTCATGCAGGAAGTGCTTGAATTCTATGAAGTTCTTTCCTGTATTCATTGAGTGGTCACTGAGATATTTTCAGAGCTAAAGATATTTAAGATACTTCTGCTATACAAAGCAAATCAAGTCCAGAAGCTTGCCTCATTAGATTATGCACTTTTGTTATGCCCAACTGTGTAGAGGCTTCCCTCGCCTCATCAGAAAAGAACAGAGAACTGGAAAATGACTTACCTGAAATGCTGGAGACAGAGCAGCTGTGGGAGATGTGGCAGCTGTTGGAATGCCACTTTATTAACTGCTGGTTCTTCTGGATTGGCATTTCCCAAGTGGTGAGACCAATTTCTGGAGCAGGGCAGAGAGGGGGAGAAGAGAGAGAGAGAGAGAGACAGCATTCCCACCTGCTTCTCCTTGAATGCCACGGAGAAACCCTGGGAATGGGGAAGGAGACCAGATTATGGTCTTGGAGCTTGGAGGAGCTCAAACAATGAGAGAAGTACTTGGAGGTATCTGCCAGCTGAGGAGACAGAGCCAGGACTGAGCTGCAGAGACTGTGAGCCTCAAGACTGATGGGAAGGTCCTTTTCTTTACTCCCCTTTTTCTTTTTTTAATATTTAAAATGTGTTTTGATGCAAAGGCACTAGGGGAGTGCTGAACCTGAGAAGGGGAAAGGAAAGAAAGGTCCAAGTGCTGACTAATCTGACTAGGATGGTAGCGAAGTCAGGGAATAGCTTAGCGGCAATTATACTTTTGTTCTTTTGCTAATTAATTTAACTAGTGCTTCCCGAATATGGGAGAATATCATGCAGAATTAAGCCCTGACTCTGCGAAATTTGGGCTAGATGGAAGAAAGGAAGAAAAGCACTGAAGGAAAGCTGTGTTCCAAGTCTAGTGCAGTTAAATACTTACCTGAGGCGTGAACCAGGTTACCACTGCTGGGTAGAAGAGCTCTTTATACAGGGTAGAAGAGCTCTTCCTTGCAGCATCAACTCATAGAACATCCATTTGTTGGGGTCCACAACCCTATATGCTGCAACCCTGATACCTTCCTCTAAGCTAAACGATATGTTGAACCTTATTTACATCTTGTCAGCTTTCCTTTAAGCAAATCTGGTCCAGTTATGATGGAGTATAGGCTCCAGTAATTCACTGAAAGCTTTTGTAGCCAGAAGAAGGAATTACCCTAAGGTTTTAGAAGCCCCAGTCACATGAATAGACAGGTACAGTGATTTTCATCTGGGGGATTTTAGGAGATCCAGACATAGTTCTGTACGTAGCCCTGAAACCAACTCTATCAGTCAATTTATCTTATGATTTATCTCCTCTTGATGGTGCTTATGTAATGCTATTTGTTTACAAAACAGTGTATTCTCATTTAAAGTATTACAAGGGCTATCACAATAGACTATTTCTAGATCTATTCTATAATAGCATAAATAGGCTAAAAACCTGTATTTCTACAATAATCCTGTATAAGGAGTATTTTGGTAGGGTTAATGCAGCACCGCAGTCAGGTCAGGTCATATCTGCAAGCTATAGCCCTGTATCTATAAACTATAACAAATTATAAACTAGACAGATTCTCTCTATAGTATTATAAAAACATTCTTTTAAAATATTATTAAGTTAAAAAGATAAATTTTACTTTCGCTGTTATGTATCATGGTGTAGGGACAAAGTGAAAAAAGTTTCCATCGAAGATCTAGAATATTTCTGAATAATAGATTAAACTTAAAATCAAGTAGGCATCATATATTTTTTTAATGTTTAAATGAATAATGCAATTAAAAAACGTCTGTGCGCCAAAGGTAGATTATGGGAAAAGCCATATCCCTTGATTCCAACAGCATGTCAGCCCCAACCCCAGTCTTCTAGCTGTCTGATGGAGCAGTTTGAGCAAACAAATACAAGAAGCCAATTCTCCACTAAGAGATGGATGTTCCATATATGAAGATTTTGTTTATATATACAAGATATGTTGCAATATATAAAAGTTCCCAGTTCCATATCGATTCTTATGAGGCTCCTGTTAATTGCAATGATGCCTTATGCCCTATATGATTTTTTAAACTACACAGGTAAATCTACAGTCATTGAGAGTCATTAATTCAATGGTGTGATTTCATCATTTCATCTAAACAATGCTAATGCTGACGAGAAACTCACCATTACTTTCTGTGGAGAAGCGGTTAAACATAAGAAGTTCCCAAAATATCTTGGAGTAACTCTTGATTGGAGCCTCACCTTTCATGAACATCTATGGAATGTTGCTAAAAAATGAAAGCATGAGTTAACCTTGGGCATAAACTGGTCAGAACAACATAGGGAGCAAATGCAACCATGCTTCAAACGGCCACTCTAGCACTTTTCTTCTCTGCAGCAGAACATTGCTCCCCAGTCTGGAACAAAAGCATGCACACAAAGATTATTGATACACAGTTAAATGCAATTATGAGGATTATATCAGGAATGCTATAAAGTACACCGTTGCCATGGCTTCCAATCCTAGCGAGCATTGCTCCCCCACAGCTCTGCCACGAGGTTGCATGCATGAGAGAATACCATAAGGCCATTGGTAACCCAAACTTCCCAATCAACAAGCCAGTTCATGAAAGTTTCTAACCTCCTTACAGGACCTTCACCTATCGCAGGAAGTACGTGTTCCCACTAGGGGAAATGCCTTACTAGACTTGGTACTGGCCACAGGGGACAACTGGGTGGGGGATCTGCAGGTGCAAGGTAAACTAGGGGATAGTGACCGCCTATTGATAGGGTTCACTATCTGGAGAAAGGTGGGGAAGATTACTAGTAGGGCGGAAGTTCTAGATTTCAGGAAGGCCAACTTCAACAAGCTCAGGAGATTAGTTAGGGAGGGACTGACTAGTAAAAGCCTTGGAGAGATGGGAGTCCAGGAAGGGTGGGCGTTTCTCAAGGGACTAATCCTGCAGGCACAGAAAAGGACCATCCCAGTATACATAAAAGGGGGCAAAAAAGCAAAGAAACCCTCTTGGTGGAGCAGAGAAATCCAGGAGAGCCTAGAATGAAAAAGAGAGGCCTACAGGCTGCGGAAGCAGGGGGCTGCCACCAAGGAGGAGTATACCGGCTTGGCTCGAGCTTGCTGGGAAACAGTGTGGAGAGCCAAAGCGGAAATGGAGCTTAGGCTGGCAGCAAAAGTTAAGGATAACAAAAAGTCATTCTTTAAGTACATAGGAAGCAAAAAGAAGGTGCAGGGTAACTTAGGGTCCCTTCAGGATGAACTAGGGCAACTGGTAACAGATAGGATGGCCAAAGCGGAGCTTCTAAATGATTCCTTTGCATCCGGGTTCCTGGACATGAATACAAATATGCATCCCATGGGGACCTTAGGTAAGCCCAGTATAGATACCAACTCACCAACTCCTCATGCTGACCTAGTAAAGGGGCACCTGGAGGGGTTGAATATATTTAAGTCAACAGGTCTTGATGATCTTCATCCTCGAGTACTTAGGGAATTAGCTGGAGTCATAGCAGAGCCACTGGCACAATTGTTTGAGCGCTCATGGCGCTCAGGACAGGTCCTAGAGGATTGGAAAAGGGCCAGTGTGGTCCCTATTTTCAAGAAGAGGAGGAAGGAGGAACCGGATAACTATAGGCCGGTTAGTCTCACCCCTATCCTCGGCAAGGCCTTTGAGAAAATTGTTAAGGATCAAATTTGTGGGGGACCAGCAGGTAAAATGATGCTAAGGGGCAATCAGCATGGGTTCATAGCAGGCAGATCCTGCCTGACTAACCTGGTTTCATTTTATGACTGGGTCACAAAATGCTTGGATGAAGGAATAGAGGTAGAAGCTATATACTTAGATTTTAAAAAGGCCTTTGACACAGTGTCGCACCCAATTCTTATAAACTAAACAGTTGCAATATAGATTATTACACAGTCCGGTGGGTAGAAAATTGACTTATGGGACACACCCAGAGAGTGGTGGTGGACAGGTCGGTTTCTCCCTGGAGAAATGTAGACAGTGGAGTCCCTCAAGGCTCTGTCCTGGGACTGGTACTATTCAATATTTTCATTAGTGACTTGGATGAGGGAGTAGAAAGCATCCTGTCCAAGTATGCTGATGACACCAAACTATGGGGGGAGGTACACAAACTAGACAGCAGGGAGCGAATCCAGGCTGATATGGACAGGCTGGGGAAATGGGCTGAACAGAACAGGATGCAGTTTAACAAGGATAAGTGTCATGTGTTGCACTGGGGGAGGAAGACTCATCAACACTCCTATAGCCTGGGAGGTGCCATTCTAAGTAGCACAACTGTGGAAAGGGACCTCGGAGTTGTAGTCGACTCCAAAATAAACATGAGTCACCAGTGTAATGAGGTAATAAGTAAAGCTAACCACACCCTTTCTTGCATAAGTAGGTGCATCACAAACAAGTCTAGGGAGGTGATACTTCCCCTCTATGCAGCACTGGTCAGGCCGCAGCTGGAGTACTGTGTCCAGTTTTGGGAACTGCACTTCAGGAGGGATGTGGATGGCCTGCAGAGGGTTCAGAGGAGGGTCACTCATCTGGTTAAAGGCCTACAGAAAAAACTCTATGAGGACCGACTGGGAGACCTAAACCTCTTCAGCCTCCACAAGAGGAGGCTGAGAGGTGATCTTGTGGCTGCCTACAAACTCATCAGGGGGCAAACTTATCAAGGGGGCCAGCAAGAAATAGGGGATACAATGTTTACCAGGGCACCCATTGGGGTAACTAGAAATAATGGCCACAAACTGGAAGAGAGAAAATTCAGATTGGACATCAGGAAAAAATTCTTTAAGTGAGGGTTGCCAAAATATGGAATAAGCTTCCAAGGGAGGTGGTGCTGTCCCCTTCCTTGGAGGCATTTAAAGGAGATTGGATGGACACTTGGCTGGGGTCATCTGACCCCAGCACACATTCCTGGCCAGGGCAGGGGGTCGGACTCAATGATCTAATAGGTCCCTTCCAACCCTAACATCTATGAAACTATGACATCACTATGCCACCACCAGATAAGCTCAAATCTAGAAAACACTTCTGGAAATACACCAAGAAGCTCTATGAGGATAACAAGAGCACTGAAAAACAATGGAGGGAAGCCTGGGCAAATACCAACTTGCTGCAGAAATACAGCATCAGCAACCCTACAGTTCAGGAGGGATGGGCCTTGGGTTCTTGGACCATGACCCACATTTCCACACAGAGGACATGCTCGGGCGGGATGGGTTTCATCTCTCCCCAAAAGGTAAGCGTGTTTTTTCTTCCAGGCTGGCTGATCTCATATGGTGAGCTTTAAACTAGGTTCACTGGGGGATGGGGATGCAGAGCAACATGAGGACGCTTCACTGTCAAGTCAGGTGACGCGTGCAGGTAGTACACAGGTAAGTGACAGGGGCCAGGGCAGGCTTAGGAACAAGGGGGCAGCACATGCACCCACAGGAGGCCTCAAATGCCTCTACACAAATGCTTAAAGCATGGGGAATAAGCAGGAGAAACTCTCCCTCCTGCTAGCTAGCAAAAACCCAGACCTAGTGGGGTTCACGGAGACCTGGTAGGATTCTACCCATGACTGGGCAGTGGACATTGAGGGCTACAGGCTGTACAGGCGCAACAGAGCAGGGAAAAAAGTAGGGGGGTGTAGCGCTTTACATCAAAGAACAATACACATCCTCAATGATCAGGATGGGGTCTGAGGAGGGTCAAACTGAGGCGCTCTGGGTAAGAATGCAAGGGGGTCATGGGGAAAGAGACTTGATAGTGGGCGTCTACTACAAACCGCCTCACCAGGGGGACGAGCTGGACCTGGAATTCTCAGGTCAGCTCACGGAGGCTGTAAAGTCAAGGGAAATGGTTGTCATGGGTGAGCCAAACTGCCCAGACAGTCTGCTGGGAGGAGCAGTCAGCCAAGTCTGACCACTTAGGTAGGTTCCTAGCCAGGATACAGGACCTCCACCTAACTCAGGAGGTGCATAGTCTCACCAGGAGAAATGTCTTGCTGGACTTGGTCCTTGCCACAGGCGACAACCCGGTGAGGGGTCTGCGGGTACTCAATCACCTGGGCGACAGTGATCATTGCCTGCTGGAATTTACTATCCAGCGCAGGGTGGTGAAAGCAAGCAGTAAGGCAAAAATCCTTGACTTCAGGAGGGCCAACTTCTATAAGCTAACAAGATTAGTAGGAGAGGCACTGGGGTCTCAGTCCAAGACTCCCATCTCATACCAACTTGCTGCAGAAATACAGCATCAGCAACCCTACAGTTCAGGAGGGATGGGCCTATTAGATGGGTTGTTCTTCAAGGAGATGATCCTCCAAGCTCAAAGGGAGTCAGTCCCAATGCACACCAAGGTGGGCAGGAGTGCTAAAAAGCCCCCATGGCTCAGCAAAGGCATCCAGGATGGCCTGAGAGGAATGCCTGTGGGGAAAAAAGGAGGTATATAAACAGTGGAAGCAAGGGGCTATCACCAAGGAGGATTATACGTCTGTTGCTCATGACCGCAGGTAACTGTTAGGAAGGCCAAGGCAGCGATGGGGCTAGGGCTAGCAATCAGAATTAGGGATAACAAAAGGTCCTTTTTCAAATACATAGGGAGTAAGAAGGCGGCACTGGGTAATGTTGGGCTCCTACAGGACAGGCTTGGCAATCTGGTGATTGCAGCAAACGAAAAAGCTGACCTCTTTAATGTATTATTTGTCTCCATATTTCTGAACAGGGACCGGGACATTTCCCCCACTAGGATTACAGACAGACCCAGGGGAGACACCGCCATGCTGAAGGCCAAGGACGACCTACTTAGGGAACTTTTGGAGGGGCTGGATGTGTTTAAATCAGCAGATCCAAATGCTCTTCACCAGAGGGTGTTGAGGGAATTGGCGCGGGTCATAGTGGGGCCCCTGGCACTGCTTTATGAGCACTCGTGGGGCTCTGGCCAGGTACCAGAGGATTGGAAAAGTGCCAATGTGGTCCCCATTTACAAGAAGGGGAGAAAGGAGGACCCTGGCAATTATAGACCAGTCAGTCTTACCTTGCTCCTTGGGAAGACCTTGGAGAAAATTATCAAGGAACACATCTGCAAGGGCCCCGCAGGGGAGGTAATGCTCAGGGGCAACCAACATGGGTTCATCGAGGGCAGATCCTACTTGACTAACCTGGTTCCTTTTTATGATGAGGTCACAAAATCCCTGGACGAGGGTGTGAAGGTGGATGTAGTCTTCATGGACTTTAAGAAAGACTTTCACACTATTTCTCACAACATTCTCTTAAAAA